AAAAAATCTAACATTGATTTTTTAACCGGCTTCCAAAGAGGAGGAGGTTCTATCTTCGTCTGTATGTATGTTCACCGATTTTAACGTGCCAATATCCATTCATTTGGACTCAATTAGGGTACCTAGTTTAAAATAACAGATCAGATGACTAAATTATGTATTTGTGTTGCTAATTAAATCACGTGACGACTAAAAGATTAATAACAAATACGAGTTCCACTTTAACAGTTTCAAGTTAAGATCAAAATTCTTTACTGAAGAAATTTCTGACGGAAACTGGTTTAAGGCTAAATAGATAGATAGGGCCTCAGCAGGATAATAGTATGAAAGTATAACAACTTAATCTTGTTAGGTCCAAAGTTGCACATTGAAGGAAGGAAAGATAATAATGATATTTTTTGACGACACGTTTGGCTCAGTTTGTAGTGACCCTACTTGCTGTGGCAGCGGTCGCGGGTTCGATTTCCGTTGGGGGCAATCATTTGTGTGATGAGCGTGAATGTTTGTACTGCAGTCTTGAGTATTTATATTTATAATATGTATGTATTTAAAGTTATATATCCATAACACAAGTCTCGTACCTTACCGTGGAACTAGATGGCGTTGTGTCTTAGTTGTTCCCAATACCTATACATTTTAATACGGAGATGTGTAAATAGATGTGTAATAGACATTCTTCTTGAGTCTTCATAAAAATATAGTTTCGAGTCAATTTTAATATAAGCTTAAGCTGAATCGATTGCGCACTGAAATGCAAGTTAATCCGCTACAGTAATTGGATAGAATATTTCATAGCTTTTGGACATTTTGCCTCCTAAGCGAAACGCCGTACCGTTTCGTAATCTTTTAACACTCGCAAAGGCGTTTTTCATAACTTTAGCATAAATTTTTTTATAGACATAAGAAACATTACGTAATTAAGTTTATTTAGACACTAGCTTGCCCGCGGCTCCGCCCGCGTTCAGATGACCAAAAACCAAATAAAATAGCACTATTGTTATTTATTTTCAAGATAAGCTATTTTCAATAGTTTTTGCCTTATTTAATATGTTACCTTGCTAAAATATATATAGTATCATCGTGGTTTTATTCTAACCAGTTTTTGTATTTTTTCTCAGAAATGAGATATTTTCCTGCGGTAAAAAGTATCCTATATGTTGAGATGGATAACCAATTATGACCATACTAAATTTTATCACAATTCCTCCAGTAGTTTTGTTGTGATGCGGTAACAGATAAACTAACAGACAGACAGACAAAAATTCTAAAAACTTTTTTCTTTCGGGAGTTTATGAACAGATTATAATGTAATGTTTGATCTATTAAATCGAATTATATTAATGTTTAAATATTTAAATTAATCATACATCTTTAAAAAGAAATTATAATTTAATTTATTCGTTTATTTCAGGCAATATCTACAAAAAGATCTTAAATATGTAAACAGAGGCCCATAACATATATATCTTAAAAACTAACATACATATATTCATTTTAAACTTAAAAAACTACATATGTAAATCTGAGCATTTAATTATTTCAATAAAGAAAAAGTCTTTGAGGAAATGAAATGAATCAGAAAAAAATCAGTGAGTAATAGTGACTTTTCAAAATTCTCATACTCTGGCCAAAAGCCAAAAACATTCCAGCTTTCAGGTATATGCGCGTTTTGGGGAAGACGTTTGACGTAGGTGATTGTATAATTCAATCTGAGCGGAATAAGCCGGTAATGGCTGGGGCTTAAATTTATTACAGAAATCTCTTGATTTGCTTATAAACTAACTTGATTTGGTGTCTTTGTGAACAGCATTTTATATTTATTTAATGGCATATTTTACAAGTTTATCGTTAACAAAAATACAACTCATTTTATATATTTAAAACAAACGACTTAACATCCCTAGGTACGTTTTATTTTTTTTGAACGGAACCCTAATTTTTGCTAAAATAAAAGTAGCCTAAGTTACTCCTTATAACATCAGCTATCTGTTCGTAAAAGTCCCGTCAAAATCAGTCCAGCCGTTTCGGAGATAACCCGGAACAAATAGATAGACAGACAAAAATTTTAAAAATTGTGGTTTTAAATTTTATATGCATTTAGTAAAAACTTGTTATTTTCACATTACAAACAGAATCTTCATTTTTTTATTTGTATAGATTAAAATACCCCCTCCATACATGGCGATTTTTTATCATTTGTTGTAATAAAATATTTTATAAAAGTGAAAAACAAAAACTGCTATTTCTACCGGTTGAAAATATACTAATTTTAAAGTTAATAAAAACATTGGTCATACTGTTTTTCTCCGGGTTCGGAATTTTAGAAATTTCGAATATACAATATTACTATTGAAATTTCATCAATTTACCTAGATTAATTATTATTCCATCAAATCAATGTACTAAACAAATTACAATTATAATAGGTACAGATTAAAATCTAACTACTATTATGTCTTGTTAAAGCTCTTAAAGCCGAATCTTCTGAAACATCCAAAGGAAAGCAAGTAAATAGTGTTGTAGGCAAATATATGCTGAGTCGTTTTCGACCGAGATTCGCGGGAACAAGGAATTGTTACAAGCACCTCGAGCAAACAATATGCGTGCGGTTAGACGAGCTTTGTTGGCGGACGTGAATACTTTATAACTGTGAGAACTGTGCTGACTCTACGTCACTACGTCGACACCTAATACGATGCGCATAACGTTTTTGCATACTACTATGTAAATCTGAAATATATATATATATATATATATATATATATATATATATATATATATATATATAAAGTATTTTAATGACTGTGTAATTGATATGTATGTAAATGAAATTAGTATATAAGTACCAGCGTTCTCTTGAGTTCTAATAAAACTTTGGAATTTTTAGTATTTGAAACATGTTTAAGATGAACCACGACACTTGATATACAATGTATATTGTACATAAGTGTAAAAATAGTCTTAGTTTGTATGTACATGTAGTTTTTAGTTAGTACTTTGTACAAAATTCTCTCTTAATGAAAACTTTGAATTCTCCTCATGTCTAAATCGAAGCATTTATCTACTTTCAATTCTCATAGGTATAACCAGGAAGGGTAACGGACCAATCGTGACAATTCACGAATCTGATCGTTTTCTTAACAAGTCCTGTCCTTAGAATTTATACGCTTTAGTTGCTGCACGTAGGCGGTGCCTACAGCCGTACACCTACATATATACATGGTAGGAAAAATACAATAACTTTGGAAGTATTTTAATATATCAGTCCAAGGACCGCGTTCACCGACGTCACCTGAGTGTAAGGGATCTACTAAGCATTGGTTAGGGGGCTGTTAGGGGACAGTTTCTGTTTCACAGTAAGGGGTCACCTAACCGTTAAAAGGCCCCCTAAATTTAGGTGCTCGAAATACGTGCTCCTCCTAACTCTATTAGTATTTAATATTAAGAAAAAATTATTGTTGTTTATTATTGAAAAAATAAAACATGTAGACGATATAACAGAAAAAGATATATCCATAATAGTACTAAGATGAGCCGCTTCACGCTACCCTTATGATATGGACAAATCTACAAACAGGGAAAACTGAGAGAGATCTATAGAAGGGATTGATTCAAATATAAGAAACACATAACAAACGCTTAGTTTATTATCAGGTTGCTCGCATCGGTTGAGGTGAGCGTAGTTGTGCGCAAGCGCATTGAGCTCGGGTTATTGTTTTCCTTCGTTAACTTGTTCCCTTCTTTTTAGTTTTGCTGAGTCTTTAATCTCTTTAATTTATCTATATTTATACTTATCTATATTTATATTTATAGTCTTCGATTTATGTTACCTTGTTTTCCGTATGTCAGCTGTTAAATCTACCAAATATATCATTTTGAACGAAATTCTTTTTTGTCACTGTGTCCTTAAAACAATGTACGTAATAGGTACTGTTACAAAGTTGTTTCCAAACTCTCTCGTGGACTCTGTAGGTGCTGTATGCAGCTGTGCAGAGAACGCTACGAACAAAGCTGTTCTAGTAAACAAACTTCACGCTAAAGTGAAATCTATTTGTGTTAGAGCAGCATGCCCCAATTAAATTACCAGAAAATAATTTAATATTATTCCGTTTGCGGATTAAAATATAAAATTAATCTCCTGCCTTTTAAATAATACTTTCAGCAATAATCCAGGGACGTCTTATTTTTTTTTTATGTTAAAAATTTATAGACTTAAATTATTTAAAACATTTTCAAATACTTGAACTTAATATCACTTTAGACCAACTAGTTACAAAACTGCATTTTTACATATTTTCAGAGCTCCTTAGATGAGACATTGGACATTCGACGTTGCTAACATAATAATACAAAAACACATCGCTTATGTGTTTGATTTCCGTTTCATTTCGTCCATGGAGCTCGTAAAAGTAAATCGTCTTTGAAAATATCCTCACAAAAATATTTCCTCACATTACCTTCTTATTCTTATGGAGGGGAATCCTATCTTGCTTTGATTTATTGTATACTTTAGTGTTGTTATTTTTTCTTAAATGTTATATTATGCTGTAACCTAATAATAATATTTTTTAAAGGTTTTTGTATGTTGTACATTCTTTTATAGCTATAATTATCCCCTTTCATTTTCTTGCACTATATTGGTTTACGAATTATCTCAGCTAAACATACATCCTACATCGACCCGTTACTTCTCGAAGAGACAATCCACAATAATCGCAACAGTATTTACATTTAGGCGCATTTATGATAGGTATTATTCTGTTTTGAGAGTTTCTTGTTGATGGAATCTTGTATGTGGGACAGCTATAATGTTGTATAAAAAAAGTTCTAAATCGGTTATTAAAGAGAGGAACTGTTGAGTTTTTCTTAGCGGAGCTGCTGGTATCTTCCACACGTACGGATGTTTCTCATTAAATGAAATTGACGATTTATAAGTGCTTGTATAAGTCTTAAACTTAATTATCATTTCATTAATTAAGATTGATGATAAATATTTGTAGGTTGCTCAGCCTGGACGTATCCTCCCTCGAAGATGTGTACTGGCTCGAGGACACGACGGCGCGCCACGTCATTGACGCGAAAGACTTCAGCGCATGGTCGGCGGCGCGCCAGAGCCTGCCCACCGGCAAGGAGGCGCTGCAAACCCTCAAGTCGGACCTGTGGAGCGCTGTCGTTAAGAGCAGCAAGCACCAAGATGCTTGGACTTGGGGTGGGTAAAGCTTCGTGATATGCCTCATTTGATAACTATTATATATGCGAGAGTTCGTATGTGTATGTTTGTTACTCCTGAAAAAGTTAACAAATAATGCACGCTAGGCGACGTAGGAAGTAAGGACACCCGAACGAAGCGAGGGTACGTGGCTAGTATGTTATAAGTATGAAATATTTTCTTGATTAATCTTAAGATTCAGTTAGCAATAATGTATGAAAACAGTTGCCAATAAATAGAAAGCGTCAAAGTTTTCATACACTTTTAATTTTTCGACTACCACGACTTTCGACAGCCACGTGGTATAACGGTCGATTGAATTTAGTTAAACCATACCATTATATTCATTTTTATCAATATTATTACGTCATCAGTATTTAAATAGTTTTAAAAGTAAGTTTAGTTTTAGCAAGTTCAGTTAAGTTTTAGTAGACTAAAACTTACCTACTTGACTAAACTTTAGTTTATACCTATATATTTCAGATTTTTAAACCCAATTAGATTAGATATTTCACTATTTGTAGTGGAATAGTAAATGGAAATTTTGAAATCTAATCTAAGTTAATCATAATCTTTAGACTTTTACCGGATAAAAAAACAACAAATACGAATTTTGTAGTGTATGTACTTGTTATGCCAGCGAACGCGGGTTCTAGTCCCGCTGGGGGCATTCATTTGTGTGATGATCACGAATGTTAGTTTCCTGTCATGGGTGTTTATATTTATAAATGTATGTATTTAAAGTTATATATGTATAGTGTATCAACTATATGGTATCCATAATACAAGCCTCGTAACTTACCATGGAACTAGATGTATACCAACATATTTATTTATTTATCATACAATATAAGGTGGTGGTGTGTTGCAGGCGGCATGCTGGTGGTGTCCATCTCGGTGTGCGGGCTGGTGACGCTGGCGGCCATGACGCAGCCGTCGCTGGCGCCCGAGGCCAAGCACTCGCTGCTGCAGTACGTCACCGGCAAATACCTGCACCCGCCCAGTTGTAAGGCACGTCCCCCTCCTTGTGTCCCTTACGAGGAACATGTGCCACAATGCCATTTGTTCCCACAGTGAACTGATTCGGTATTTTATATTTAGCATATTCTTGAAGTCTGCGAACGAGTAGTTCTGTCCTCTTGTTAGATTTTGGCCATGGCGGCTATTCTGTGACAAGCCTATATGCATGATTATTTTATTATTTTTTATACAATTATTAAATAACATCATTATTTAATTGTAAAAAAATATCCAGCTCAAGAAAACTAAAATTAAGTATATATTTTTTAAATATCATACCGATACGGATTTCGCGCGCTTGGCGTGACGTCAAAGTACCATACATAGAAAAATGACGACTTTAGTTTGTAGCGACAAATTCGCTAATCGCTCTGTTATTTTAATAATTTGACGTCATATTCGGTCTGAATAATGGCGTGCGTTTCGAATATTTTGAATTTTTCACCTATATTTGCACTTTTTTTTTTAAATATTTTTTTTAATCAAAAACAAATTACAAAGAGATATTATAGTGTACACTGCACAAGTGTGTGCCCCAATATAAGTGCACTCTCTATTCCTTTTACTCTTCAACTCCGATAGGACGATAATTTGTCACAACCTGTGAGATATCAGTTGAATAACCGTCGAACCGTCGATCGGTCGTCGGGTCGATCCGGGCTTTGAACCCACGACCTCTTAATTGTAACTGCTCGTGCTAGCCACCATATACCAACGAGGCAGTTAAACAAGTACCTAATAGGTATGTAAATAATGTTTACAGTTTTGTTTTCTTCAATAATATGTTAATACCTTATAGATGGCAAATATTGTTAAAGGTGGAATGGGGTTGGGAGGAGCCTCAGCCCGTGGGGGAGACCATGTGCTTCACGGTGTACTGCTACCAGCGCAACGGCCAGCCCTACCCCATCTGCGACACCGACGAGCTCGTGGTCAACATCTCCCACGGGACTAGGAAGGTGACATGCGTTATATTCATGCTTCAAACATATACGGAAACAACATGCACAAAATATTCACGTAAATGGGGCAATATTTGAACTCACGACTTTTAAGCTGTGTTAAACCATTATTTAAATAAGAAAAAAATTAAATGTGGCACTCGGAGACTGCCGCGGTAAAGCTATTGCATAGCATTTTTTATCAACTTATGCAAGCTTATTTTAATATCAAAAATTTTGGTTATCTTTATAGCAGTATTATATATAAATTAACAAAACAAAAAATAATACTGCATTGGTGATAATAATAATAAAATGAATGTATATAAAGTACTAACTCATTTTCTTTCACTACTTTTTCGTGACTTTCTTCATTAATAAATGCACTTTGTTTATTCATATTTAAAACACTTTGTACACAAATTATACGAGTACAGATATTCACTGTTGTACAAAGATGATAAATACCTATACACCTATATACTTTCTCACAAACAGCTGATTACGGTAGTTTTCCAATACAACCAATGCCACCTAAAGGCGGGTTGCTGAACTAAATAGACAAGCGTGATATTTCAAAAAGTCATTAAAACTTCTGGTATTTATCGATAGACGGAAAAACTAAAAAGTATCACCGCTGTGCCGGTCGGAGTGGGGGGTGTTAGGTTTTTTTCGTTACGGAATTTCTGGATTCGGTCCAAACGCTCAAGGCCCACGATAGAAGCTATGCAATAGCTTAATAATATAATAATAATAAATATTGGGACATTAACACACAGCGCCATCTAGTTCCATGGTAAGCTACGAGGCTTGTGTTATGGATACCAGGTAGTTGATACACTACACATATGTAACTTTAAATACATACATATTATAAATATTAACACCCATGACTGGAGTACAAACATACGTGCTCATCACACAAATGAATGCCTCCAGCGGGACTCGAACCCGCGACCGCTGGCACAGCAAGTAGGATCACTACCAACTGAGCCAAACGTGTCGCCAAAGAATGGTAAAGTGTTTTTTCATATGAACTTTTTAGTCGTTTTAATTATTTCGTATAAGGTACCTACCTCTTGTCGTGACTGGGTTTTATACATTGAAAAACGAACGGCTCGGCAGTACGTTAAATAGTTAGTTGTTTTTATACCCGACGATAAAATCTAATACCGTTAAAAACCGTTTATTAAAATCGATTCGGTAAACTAAGGGTTCGGAGCGGGATTGTTATAAGACAACCACTAGGTTCGAATACAATTTAATAATACGTGTGAACGAAACAATCCACATGTAATCCGAACGAACCGAATTAAAATACGTCTCAATGAGCATATCCGTACTAATATTGTAAATGTGAGAGTTTGTGAGTATGTATGGATGTTTGTTACTCTTTCGCGCTAGAACGGAAAGAGCATAGAGTATATTGGGAAAGAGATAAATAGAAATTTGGCACAGAGATAGGTTATAGTCTGAAATAATACATAGGCTACTTTTTATCCCGGAAGAACATACGGTTCCCGAGGGATAGATTTGTTTTTGTCTTTCTACATGTTTTGTCTTCGCACATACATAATATATAAGTTTTTTGCCGATTCAGCAAACTATACGAAAACTGATATAGCAAAATAGTCGAAACTATGAGTATAAAACAAGGTGTGTTCAGATCGCGGCGGTGGTGGAGCTGGGCTCGGGCGACCCGGCGCGCGCGCACACGGCGCGCGTGCAGTTCACCGTGCGCAGCGCCGGCCTCTATGTCATACACGTACTCATCGGTACAAGCCTTTGTTTATTCCTTTTTCATACTTGCATATATATAGGTGGTTACATGGGCGTACCCTGGTGGGGGCAGGGCTCCACGCTCGCCAGCCACTCGCTGCCGCGCCAACGACTGGCCCGCGAGCTCGTATTTGACATGTTATTGTTTTGAAAGAGCCAAACGTAGGTGACGAAAAATAATCAACGTCCATATCTATACATATAATAGTGATCGCTGTCTGTACATGGGAGATATTCCAGAAAAACTATTATTTTAATAGATTTTTATTAACGCGATAGAACCCAAAAAAAATATTTTTAGATTTTTTGTTTGTTTTTCTGTGCGTTTGTACGTGCTAATCTCAGAAACGCACGTAAGAATTTATACTTCTTTGGTTTTTTTTGACCATTTAAATAAAAGCTTGTTTTTTTAAATGTCTTAAATTTTGTTTAATGTTTCTTACTTTTTTTCGTATTTTTCTATATTATAACTTTATCCTGTAGTCAATAACCACTAACTTCATACTGTAGTCTAAATCTGTCGTATCGTAAAAAAAAAGTTTCATTTTTCATAACGCGCCAAAAGAAGTATAACTTCAAAAATGCTATAAAACACTGTTAAGTTGATTTGGCTGAAACTTTTGTTAATTATATTATATGTAGTTTGTAAAACGATGATGATTAAAAGCTAATATGGACACAGCAAAGTTAAAAATTGATAATTTCAGAAAAGACGGTGCCAATGTAAGTTGAGACATTTATATGGTTGAGCATATTAAACACTCAAGTAACAGCTAAATCTCGGCTAATTTTATTTTTAAAATTAATTAGTGTTCGGTGCAAAAAAAATTGTTAACAAAATCCGCGTAGGTACCTAGGGATGCACCCAAGCGAATCGAAGATAAGTCGTTTATTTACCTATATGGTATTTAAAAGTACTGGTTGATATTGTGTGCAGTGTGCAATCTGTTGAACAATAATAAAAAGTGTCAGCTAAATGAAAACGGACATTCAAATTTTTTTTTGTCTTCATGTAGTGTGTAGGGAAAAACAAGCACAGGGGACCAAGCAGGCGCGGATCTAGAGTTAAATTTTGGGGGGATCAGAGGCTGAAATATACATATAATAAAACTGTAACTTAGCAAAATCTGTACATGATTTTTTTTTAAAACAATGACTTAAAAAAAATCAAAAACTTAAGTTTTATGGCTTTAAAACTTAGCAGATATATAAGGAACAAAAATCCATAAAACGCCCCCGCTGTCCAGCTACCCCCGAGAAATAGGGGGATGTAAAACGTTGAAAAATAGTGTTTTTTCAATTTCTGACTTGCTGTGACATCCTATCGAAAATATTCTTTACAAAAGTTGTATGTCTAGTAAAAATCTACGACTTTTACACTAACCTCAAAGTTTTCGACATATTTCTAAAAAAACGTTTTTTTATTTTTTCTTGGGTTTTTTTATTTTTAATTTCTGCTAATATTTTTCGATTTTCATGAAACTAACTCTATTTGGTCAATAAAGTACATTTTTTTTCAATTTTAAGGGTGTATTTACAGGACGACCATACAATGTTTTTATATCTTCAAAAAGTAATAGTAAGTAGAGTAAAGTAGTAAGACGAAAAAAATGTGCTCTATCTGAAAATTGAACGATTTTTTTAAATATAAGCATCCACTTGAAGTTGGGGGTGATTTTAAGTCTTCCGAGACCATTAAATATAAATTTCTCAGAAACGACTAAACATTTTAATTTCAAAAAAAATTGGATATTATATGTATTTCGAAGATTATATTCCTGTAGTTTCATGAAAATCAAAAAATAATTGCAGAAAATTAAAATAAAAAAAAACAAGAAAAAAATAAAAAAACCGTTTTTTTTGTTGAAAATTTTGAGGTTTTTGTAAAAGTCGTAGATTTTTACTACACCTACAACTTTTGTAAATAATATTTTTCGACAGGATGTAACAGCAAGCCAGAATTGAAAAAAAAACTATTTTTCAACGTTTTGACTCACAAGAAACCAAAAAACTGGGTACGCCCATGGGTGGTTATGACGCTTATGTTATACTCACCGATTAGAAGAGTCAGTAGTAAGTACTATCTACTAAAATTTAACTGAAATATATCCATTTTAATGGGATGTCGCAGGATCACTTACGCATTAAACTACAATGCTATGACGGGGTCCTCATCTATGCAGCTATTACACGACTGATGTAATTGCGAAACTTTGTGTGTCTATGTGTGTTTGTTGGGGCAATACAAGCCAAAAGGTGGCGCTGTCTGTATTTAATATAATAGATATAAAAGGCACGTAGGGGTGGTCTCTATGTGTGTGTGTGCGTGCAGGCGGGCAGAGCGGGTGCGGCGGGCCGGCGCGCAAGTGGTTCGCGGCGGGGCGGCCGGAGGCGCGGCGCTCGCGCGTGGGGCGCGCGCCCGCCGCGCTGGTGTGCACGGCGGGCCGCGCGCGCCGCCTGCACGTGCACCCGCGCGACCGCTACGACAACCCCGCGCCGCTCGACCGCCCCGCCGACCAGGTAAAAGATAAAAATAAAAGACCGAAAACTTGTTATTTGAATTTTCACATAAATTTTGAGGTTATGTGAATAAGTGCAAATACAAAAGTTGTAGATCTTTTTATTACCTACAACTTTGCCTTGCAATTTTTTTCCATAGAACTTGTAGTTTTATCGGAAATCGAGATTTTGATGAAACATTTTTAACCCTTAAAACTCACTTTCTTCCACTTCCCGACTTCAGGTCGCTCTTAAATTGTTTTCCTTTCCTTTTTGTTATATTCTCTTCCTTTTCCAATGGGTTTCATCCTTCTATTATTTTCTACCATTTTCAAAGGCTTCAGCCCTGGTCTATATGTTTAAAATTTCTGATAATAACTTAATTTACATATGTATGTATATGATGTAAATTGTATAATTGTTTGTGTCCACGCGCGCAGGGCTTCTCCATAGACATCAGCCCGCTGGACGGGGAGGGCGGGGAGGGCGGCGAGGGCGGGGAGGGCGCGGAGGGGTGCGCCGCCACGTTCGAGTACGACGCGGTGAACCAGCGCGTGAGCGTGGCGCTGAGCTTCGCGGCGGCCGGCGTGTTCCGCGCCGCGCTGCGCTACGACGGCGCGCTGCTGCACAACGGCGAGTTCGACTGCATCGTGCTCACGCGTGAGTCTCGTCGCGGCTCGATAGACCGTTCATATACAAGATACAATTAATGCATTCTTATTTATTAGAAATAAACCAGTTTTGGTCGGATCGCATTTGAGCAACATTTCTCGTATATAAATAGTCTGATTTATCCATGTACGGAATGTGCCCGTGGCAGCGGGCGACGCGGCCACGGTGCAGCGCGGGCTGGGCGCGCGGCGCGGCGCGTGCTACGAGGCGCGGCTGCTGGGCGCGCGCGCGCGCCGCGTGCTGCTCGTGCTCAGCGCCAAGCAGCTGCTGGTCAAGGACTACTTCCTGCGCTTCATCCCCAAGCGCATCACCTCCTTCCGTCTCTGCCCCTCCACCAAGGTTATTACACAATCATTTAGTTACCTATACTATAATAGTTTATGACGTTGTAGGATGTAATCTCTGGATCTACGGAACAGGTTTAGATGAAATTTGATAAGCAGATAGTTTCAGACCCTGGGAAGGACGTAGGATACTTTTTATCCCAGAAATCATCCCATATGGGGGTGAAAATAGGAATGAAGGTATGTATTGGAAAGCGAGCTAGGGAAGAATCCTAGCGAAGCGCGGGTGAATCCCTCGTAATAAATAATTATGTTTACTTAAACTATCATATTATTTTTTCTTTAATTTGTTTCTATTATGAAATGTTAAATGATTGCTTACAATAAAAAACTTTTTTATAATAAATAAACAAAGTCGAAAAAAAAATGGTCATTAAGTTCCACTAAGGTGTGCTTCTTAAATAACCTATACATATAATAAAATTGTAACTAAGTCGAATCTGTACATTAAATATTTTTTAGAAAATCTAATTAAAATAAACATAATTATCGATACAGAGGCCGAATCTATAGTTTTTCGAATTTTTGTCTGTCTGTTATCGCATCACGAGAAAACCAGTGATCAGATTTTAACGAAATTTGGTATGATGATAGCTGGTTATCCGGGTCAACGTATAGGATACTTTTTACCGCGGGAAAATGTCTCATTTCTGAGAAAAAAATACAATAACTGCATTGTAAAAGTATACTAATATGTAAAACTTAAGAATTTGGTTTTCGGTCATCTGAACGCGGGCGGAGCCGCGGGCAACGCTAGTTTAATATATAGCTATACGACGTACGACAAACAGACACTCGTACCTAGAGACGTAGAGTGAGTGGTCCTCGGTCCGCCGCAGCTGGTCCTGAGCCCGCGCGCGCGCGGCGCGGCGCCCGGCGGCGAGCTCACGCTGGAGGACGGCGTGCAGCCGGCGCTGCGGCTGTGGGCGGCGCAGCGCGACCTGCTGGCCGCCACCTTCACGCAGCTGCTGGTGGCCAACTGCGGCGGCGAGGACTGCTTCAAGAACAAGCAGGACTTCTTCTACAGCGAGGTGCGCAAGGCGCACGCGCGGCACCCGCACGAGCGCCTGGCGCTGCGCGTGCGGCGCGCCGACCTGCTGCGCTCCAGCCTGCGCGCCACGCGCCACTTCGCGCCGGCGGACTGGTGCCGCAGCTTCGACGTCAGCTTCGAGGGCGAGCAGGGCGTGGACTGGGGCGGCGTGCGGCGCGAGTGGTTCTCGCTGCTGTGCGCGCAGCTGTTCGACGCGCGCGCCGGCCTCTTCGCCGCCGCGCAGGACGCGCCCGCCGGCCTCGTGCGCCCCAACCCCGCGCCCGACCGCCCGCCGCACCTCAAGGTGAGCCCCGCCCGAGTCGAGACCTCTACACGAATATGTAGGCGGACTACATTGATTTAAAATTAAAGTCACTACTTATTTTTTAAAATTTAAATAGCCGTCGAATTATTAAAAATCTATAAACATAAGTCGATAAGTATCCGAGTGTCTCTTTCGTGCCATGAGTCATGTCCCGCACTGTATGCGTGCAGCTGAAGCACTTCGAGTTCGCGGGCAAGGTGGTGGGCAAGTGCCTGTACGAGAGCGCGCTGGGCGGCGCCTACCGCCAGCTGGTGCGCGCGCGCCTGGCGCGCTCCTTCCTCGCGCAGCTCATCGGCCTGCGCGTGCACTACAAGGTACTCTAGCAAAATTCTATGTTCAACCCTAGGTCTAAATCCATCCGTTTTTTCATCCAAACGCGTCCGTACAACCGTCTAAGAATGAAGAAACAAACATACGTACATATATGCAAACTTTCGCATTTATAATAGTAGATTAATAATAATTTAAACGTACTATTAAAAATGTTCAGTAGCTAGGTTAGAATGAAAGATACAGAGATGATTTATGACCTGGAGTAAATCATGGGTATCGCTAGGCATTTAAAATACACACCTGAGCGAAACGAAAGTTAAGCCCTGGTAGTAAATATCGATGTAACATTCTCCCTATACAGTACTTCGAGCAGGACGACCCGGAGCTGTACCTGTCGAAGATCAAGTACATCCTGGAGACGGACCTGGACGCGGAGGACGTGCCCGAGATCTACTTCGCGGACGACGTGTACGACCGCGCCGGCCGCCTCGTGTGCACGCGCGACCTCGTGCCCGGCGGCGCCGCCATACGCGTACGCATACATACATACATACACACAGTGTCGTTTATTTACAACTTTACTTTTCTTAACTAAAACAGTTTCATAATTGTCATATAAAAGTATACACTCGGGGAGTCGCGCGTCTCTCGCGCACCCATACCCGAGCCCCACGTGGTGTGTCCATGTCCGCAGGTGCGCAACAGCAGCAAGCTGCAGTACCTGGACGCGCTGGCGCAGTGGCGGCTGGCGGCGCGCGCGCGCGCGGAGACCGACGCCTTCCTGCGCGGGCTGGCGCTGCTCGTGCCCGACCACCTGCTCGCCATCTTCGACGAGAACGAGCTGGAGGTCGGCGCCCTTTTACCCTGCACGATTGAAATTTTACATGTTCATTTAGCTCCCATGATAAACGGTTTTTTTATAGTTATGACCTAATTCTTTATCTATGATTCGTTCATGACGCAACTTTTAAATGGTCCACAGTACGGACACTTTTATATGTTAAGAGAACCGCTGAACCTTGCAGCTTTAATATACTGAAGGATTCGCGCAGAGATATATTCTATTATTTTATCAAAGCTTAGAAAAAACATTGCACCGTGCACAGTTAATTATAATTTTTAATTTAACTTTTTTATATGTGCCTTATGTGAATTTTGAATGGAATTTCAAAGTTTTGAGGATAAATAATATTTAAATAAGCTATTCAGATGTCTGCTTTCTAATGCCGTATTAAGAGGATTGTGAAGCTGTAGATTTTCATACAAAAAGCGATAACGTTTTCCCCCCAATTACTATAGTCTAATTTTTATAATTTTTGGAATTGTTGTAGGTATAATAAAAAACTAGGTCCATAAATTTTTAGTTTAAAGGAATATTGCGTATGATTGAAGTTATTAGCATCTAAATATGTGTATTTTTGATTTAATAAAAACTTTTTAACAAAAAAACAAAAACCGACTTCAAACAAAAGCATTAAAAAGTAAAAAATAACTGATTGATAGTTTTCATTTACTATACATACCTAATCAAATATTTTCGAAGTCGGTGTGCTTTGCTTTGTATGGGCTGGCACCGATTTCGAAAATATTTGATTAGGTATGTACTTAATAGGTAGGCTTTAATTACTTAGTCAAAGCACACCGACTTCGATTCTTTCTCGACTTCTGGTTGGTATCAGTTAGTTTTTACTTTTTAGTGCATTTGTTTGAAGTCGGTTTTTATTTCTTTGTTACAAATTTTTATTTTCCCTTTTTAGTGTAGACTGTAGTAGCAAAGTAAGAATTCTAACGTGTTAGGCTTGTCAAATCAAACAAAATAAGCCCAAATTCAAAGTATCTACTATTAGCTGTTGAAGAGTTCCACCTATCCACCTTCCGGCCAACTCAGGTCAACAATACCGAACGACTGTACTATCAACGGAAATAAAAACATTTGCAAAGTTTCAAATCAATATGATAATTAGAAGTAGGTTAAATCCATCATTAGCTATTTTTCCACCTTTAGGGATGGTATTTTTTTTAAAATTTAAATGAGACTAATCTGGAAGTATACACTTTCAAACAACACAAAAATTGTCCAAATCGGTTAATAAATGACGGAGTTCTGAGGTAACAAACATAAAAAAAAACAGTCGAATCGAGAACCTCCTCCTTTTTGAAGTCGGTTGAAAACTTTCTCGAGCGTTTTTATTTTATTTAATTAAACTAAAATGAATTACTGAAAAAGAAAAACCTACATACCTAGATTTAGGTGTACTGAGTCTAATGAGATCAAATTTGTCTAATTTCGTAAATATTTAGGGGGATGAGAACGTTATCGTCCGAAACAATATTTGAATCAGGAAATGTCCCGTCCCCAGCTGCTGATGTGCGGCACGGAGGAGGTGTGCGTGGCGGACTGGCGCGCGCACGCGCTGGTGGGCGGCGCGGGGCGCGAGTGGCGGCGGCGCCTGGCCTGGCTGTGGGCGGCCGTGGGCAGCTTCAGCGCCGAGGAGCGCGCGCGCCTGCTGCAGTTCACCACGGGCTGCGCGCAGCTGCCGCCCGGCGGCTTCCGCGACCTCAGCCCGCGCTTCCAGATCACGCCCGCGCCCACCTTCGGCGCGCTGCCCACCGCGCACACCTGCTTCAACCAGCTCTGCCTGCCCGACTACGACTCCTACGAGCAGCTCGTGCGCGCGCTGCTGTGGGCCATCAACGAGGGCGGCGAGGGCTTCGGCATGATATAGTCTCGCGTACGGAGAGAATTTACTTCACATCATTCTCTATCTTTATCTAAGTTTTATTTCAAATGTGTGTATCTACAATGCATGTATGTATACATTCGCCTTATGGAGGGTAGAAGGCTCCATACTTCGCTTGTTTCTGTACGTTTCGCGTCGTCTGACGATTCTTCGTGAAAACCAATCAAATATCTTACAATAGAGGCTAATGAACAGTCATAAATATATAACTTGCTAGAGTAGACGAGAAATAAATAGAAATAAATAAAAGCTGTACATATTTAATTAAATATAATGGAGATATGAAGTTAAAATGGGAGTCAGAATTTCGTTGTGATCTGGTTGTGTACAAAGTTAAGTCTGTATGTGAAGAAAATGTCCTTTTTATGTTTTTTTTTTGTTCCTATTAACTATAAAATTTACGTGATAGTTTTGTTATTTAATATTTACTTAAATATTATATTTTCTACACATCGTATCCTACACGAATGAAATGGTAGAATTAAATTATACCACACGCAACGATCTCGAGCTAGTCATTACCGTCGAACCGACTGTATATTTATTGTTTATGTTCACTCGTTGAGTGAACCATTGTGTAATTTTTATTATATCCAAAATAATAAATTTAATATAAGCAAATTGACTATGTTCTAATGAAACAATATACGTACCTATACCATTCTATGGTAGAATCTCTTTACATGAGTAGACATAATAGCTTTATTTAAAATATAATTCGGGCTCCCTCCGGCCCGGCGCCCGGCGCCACGATTGTTAGGGCCTGCGCTTACTCTGCGATGATAATAATAATATATAATTTTTAATAATTATATTCATTTATTTACCTCATATTATTTACAATTCTTTTCAATGATTAAATGTGGTACTTAAAAATGCAGATTACATACATTTGTATCATCGCATTAAAAAGTCGTCGTGTGTAGGCCCTTCCTTATTCGAATGAATCTTTAAAAAACTAGTACGTTAGATATTAATAATAATTAAAAATCCATGGCTGCGCGTCTTTGTTCAATTCAATCTAACAACTTATTTCCACGAACAGACGCCACATCGTGTGTACATAATATAATATATTTATAGTGATTAATAAATAATATCTAGTGTTGATCCTGCCATCGCAAATATCCGTCGGCACAGGAATTGAGGGCGACAATAATGCTGGTCCAAAATCGTAGGACGATAAGTGTCGCTTGTTAAATATAAGACCAAATTATATTACAACGCCTTAAAACTTTAAATATTTCAATTATATTGCACAATTATTAATATTTTAAACAAATGTTATCTTACTCTTTAGTTCATTAGTATTTAATATTCATGTTGTTATTTAATTCGGTACTTTTTAAATATTATTATATATATTGTGATCGTGTATGATGACTTTTAGTGCAATTAATAAAAAACGGTTATTTTCAAGTGTACGTGGGTCGCGATACCGGAAACTGTAGGAAACAATGAAAAATATTTAAATTCACGGGATCCATTATTTTATATTATATTATTTAATAAAAATATATTTTTAGAACACATCGAGTATTATTGAATTAGTTGACAGGAATGATCTAAATTATTAAAAAAAAATAAAAAAGTATTATCAAGTAATAAAGTTAAAGAAAAAGAAACATTAAAGTTAATAAAAAATCAGTCAAGTGCGAGTCAAATTCGCACACGAAGGGTTTCTTCCGTACATATACTTTTTATTAATATGACTTTTAACTTTATGTATGTAGTATTTTAACATCGATAATGTATTACAAACGTAATTTTATTTTTGTATTTTTATTATTCGTTGGTATAGCGGCAATAAAAATACATACTCTGTGAAATATTCAACTCGCTACTTATTACGGTTCATGAGCTACAGCCCTTTGATAGGCGGACGGACGTACAGCGGAGGTTTAGTAATAGGGTTCCGTTGGTACCCTTCGGGTACGGAACCCTAAAAAGTGCTTCTCACAGTTTTGAATATCACGATCCCCGCGCTTTCGAAAATTTCTCACCTTATGTTTCAACATAATACTGACATAAGGGGCATTTCACGTGAAGAGGACAACGAAAAAAAAATGGGGTTCTGAAATTCGTTCTTATAGACATATTTGTACCTCTAGGGGACATGAACATTTACACACAATATTTTTTTATTTGAGGTTTAGTTGTCAAGTTATGGGATACTTAAGAATTGGGATGGGATTGATCAGATTGAAGGAAGGGTTTTGTTATTCTTTTTTCATTTGAAGTTATATGAAATACATATAAGTAATATAAAATAAGTTTCTATTATATTACTGAATCGTTTTAATGAAGTGATTCATAAAAAAGATATTGTGTGTAGAGAGGTACAAATAAGCCTAATATGAACAAATTCCAGAACCTCACTTTTTTTTCGTCGTCCGCTTCCCGTGAAATAAGTTACTTAAGTTGAGCAGTTTAGAAAACAGTGAATATACTGTATACATCACAAGCAAGGTTCAGTCAAAGGCCTCAATGTTAATAATTTAAAAATATATACATTATACAATAGTTTTAGCACATTAGATTTATTTTTGCTATAAATAGTTTTTGTTTTTTTTTTATCGAATGAAGGAATCTCTTCTATTGTATCCGCACAATAATTTAAAAGTAGGATTATCTATAACATTAAGTTGTGAGGTGGCTTACTTGAGATGTATGTATGTATTATGTACGTAGGTATACGCAATATTCATTTCTATAACTCATAAACTATGTTCTTACTGAGGTTCTTGTATTTCATAAACACTACTGTATATATTTCATTACGGTAAAATACGTGTCGATTATATTTTATAAAGATATAATGAAGTAAAAAAATATTCCAAAGTGTAAGCATTTAAATTAATTGTAAATCAAAAAAAAATACGTACGAATGAGATCTCTTAATTATTATTATTATTAATATTTTAATATTTATAAATTAACGCTCTCAATATTTTAAACAATAGCGGGCTAATTGGCTATTTATTTTAATAATTTCCTAGTATCTATAAGAAACAAACACAAAACATAATGACGTTATTTTTCTGATGAAAAATAACAAAACCCCTGTCCTTATTGTAAATAGTACGGTAATGACGTGAAAGGCGATGAGCAATATGGGTGTGTTCTTAGGATAAATATATATTTTAACATAATATACTGGCCTAAGATTCGTGAAATAGCAAGCATGGTAGATTAGTTTATTATATAAAAAGCGTAAAGAAAAGCCAAAGCCTTTTAATAATCCGTGGAGTGGTTACGAATTAATCAAGATATTATTATATAGTTACCTTCTAAGAAGAACAATAAAAATGCTTTATTACGATGAAAATGCTGTCAATGGCAGCAACGATAATACAATAATGATTCGCGAGAACTGATGCGTCTTACATTACAATTTTCGCCTGACTCTACATATAAAAAATAAAATTTTATTGAAAATATGCAATTTATCGATACCGATTATTAAATTAAATTTATCGATTCCCAATTTTACCGCGAGGACGCTCCACATTAATATATAGAATGTAAAATGTATATATACAGGAACAAACGGATAGGATATGGAAGAAAAGTACCTTAAATATTGTTGATACCAAAATTCTTTGACTCACTATTACAAGGTTCTATGTTAATTTTAATGAAGTTTAGTAATTCTTACGAAGTTCTGTACTTCGTTATTTTGTTATCGTAAAAAAAACAACATAGAACTATGTTAAATTGAATGTTTTGTAATCATAGTGCCGCCATCTAGTGGTTTGTTTTTGCAAAACTGTAGCTAATGACACATAGAACCTTGTAGCATTAATAACTAAATAAACTTACTAAAATTGTAACATACAACCTTGTAATAGTAAGCCAACGAAATGTCGAAAATGGAAACAATTTTTTATTTTAAAATATTAATAATTGCATTTAAATATTTTTAAAAAACCTTATCAGAACCGGTAATAAAACCAGTTAAAAATTCAAATAAAAATGATGTGTAAAATTGATATGTTCACTATTTAAGGTACCTTTAACAAAGGTTCAAAGTAAAGACTTTTCTTTCACATCCCGTTTATTTGTTCCAACCTATTGTTATATGGATTAGTCAACCAAAAGGCCTATCGAGGAGCCTGCAGTATGAAAACTTCAGGTGTTCAGAAATTGTATAAAATAAATACTATAATATTAATATTGTAAAATATGAAAAAAAGGCAATGCAGTCGCTTATATGTATTTAATTACAACTAGTCATTAATTTATAGTAAATAAAAGTAGAATCTCTACAGAACACTTGTTCTCTTATTGTAATATCCACGTGAGCCTTATTAATATATCAACTTATATATTATGTACGTAAAAGCAGAGATTAAGATCAATCTGAGGATTTAGTTGACTTTCTACAATCGCTGTTATTGTCATTTGTACATACTAAGTAAAATATTTTAAAAAAAATATAGGAATGCGTGCCCATATGTTAGTAGGTATATTAGTTGTCAACTTGGCTAGGCCGCCTGCTTAGATACAGAATGTGCCTAGTGCGAGACTTTCTACTTATTCAACCGCGTCAGCATTAACGTAGATTTGTATGGAATCGTGACACGTAGTGATGTAGAGTCGCCAAATTCTCTCTTTAGGTACATAAGTGTTATGACAAAGCTTATAGAACACTATTTATTCCATGATGAATATAGCTGACCATTGATGAACCAAATATTAGAAATATAGGGGTAAATAATTATTGACGAAAATAGTAGGTAGTATTTCTGTTTATTATTGATCAGCTAAACCTCGTAATGACTCTACTGGTCCACGTCGTGATCACGGCAATATTGTTTTATCGTGTTGTTCTTTTAGAGTGTGAGTAAATATTTTAAGTTCCAGACATTGAGGTGATTGAATCAAATTAATGATTTGAATCAAATATCATTTTCGTTAAAGCCGCGTTGACACAATCAAAGTCTACTTTGACAAAGTAGTTTTGTTGTCTACTTTGATCATATAAAAGAGATATTAAAGCACACTTTGACGTCGGCGTTCAATCAAAGTAGGATTGGAGCCGTGTTTATCAAAGTGAACTTTGTTTCAAAGCTTTTTGTCGAAGCAGACTTTGAGCGTGTTAACAAGTATTCAAGTAAACTTTGGTGAAAGCTTTGCTAAACCAGACTGAGCGTGTCAACGCGGCTTTATAATAGGTGTCAAGTAGTAGCCAAGAGAGAGAGAGTTTCCACAATTGTCTGAAAATTGTGAAGTTTCACAATTCGAGTGTTTTTAATCTTAAACATTAATAAACTATTGACTGTAAATGGTACCTCTTTTGACCACAGTTTTCATTACATAGGAATTCTTGATAGCGTTAACGGCATCAAAATGTGGAAAACTTGACTCGTGTCAATTTTAATTCTATTAGAGCAGACAGTGACCAGGCCATACTTGACGTAGGTAGATAAAGATTTTATGCGTGTACCTCCGACTAGCCCATACCTCCGTATAATCTGAATTTTGGTATACATATGGATTTCAAAGGCTCTGATAACGGAAATGATATTAAAAAAATACCCGAAAATTTTATGTTCAAGGTCAAATCTAAAAATAATTCGCGTTTATTGCGATAAATATGATGTTAGACAAAAAATTTCCCACAGATGTTGTAGATCATAAAAAGATTGTAATTTTTTCTTCAATACGTTTTTCGTGTAGAGCCTGTAGTTTGGAAGAAAATGATCTCTTAGCCCTCCGCTTCAGCCTTCTCGTTAGGTAAGGTTAGGTAAGTTTTATTTTTTGCTTATATGACTGGTCCGACTATGATACCGTAGATTGAGATAGCTACAACATGGGCTACACCTTACTCGGAAGAATTCTTTCTTTCTAGGTTAGGTTAGAACAGTGCCATAGACGACTGGAACTCTAGAAAAAAAATGCTTTAGAAGCTGTCTATACCACTAAGCGAAGCTCAGCTTTAACTTTAAGATCCATTTTTTCGCGTAGAATTATTATTTTTGCGAATTGTTCTGCAAAAATATTAATTCTACGCGAAAAAATTATTGAACAAAAAAAATCTAAAATCAATATTTTTCATGAATAACATGAAAAAAACATAGAAAATATTTTCTCTTGATTTGACATTGAAAATGAAATATGCGGCCATTTTGTCTGTGTACCAAATTTCAGATATATCTCTGAACAGTGCACAGTGGAATACATTCGCATGGCGATACGTGTCACGTCATGGGCATTCCCATCTTTAATTGAACAATTAATAGCTCCAACAAATGAAAGTAGTTACTGTCATGTTCAGTCGTGAGAGCGGCGCCGCGCTCGCACTATAGGTGATAGAATACCATTCCAAATGTTGATATTTTGTGGTAGATTGTTGAATAGAATTATTGTAAGACTGAAAGATTAAAGGAAAATATGATGAAATTTTGTTTTATTCCAGCTTCGTAACCTTTTATTTTATTGCTTTCAATAAAAAAAAAGCCTCTTGACCCAATCACTCAAAACCAAACGTAAAAAAAAAAAATCCAAAGAGGTGTGTTATTAATTATTATACTACTAGAGGACATTTAAGTATATTCTCTTGTAAGAGGAAAGAAAAGAATGTAAATATAATATTCTATATTATTCTAAAATTCTAAAGTAACTTAGTTACATACAAAGTGAACACAACGTTTCCTATAAAATATATTCATAAATTACATAACATATTTAATACTAAGCACATAATAATATAAAAACATACATACTTACCAAAAATGTTGCTTGATACGGTAAAAAACTTGGTCAAAATTAGTGTACAATTGTCAATCATACAAAAGGCCATCCACACAGTGTGAACCACATTAGATGCTACATGGCCGCGTCACGTTTGTCGATAATACATATAACATAACTAACTTGGTACATAACAATATAAAATATGCATATAATATGTATAAAGTTATTATTAATAGTCTATGTCACCAACTGTCCGCTTGTGTGTACATTATTTTACTATCTTTTTTTTTTCTATAATGGCTTACAGTTATCTTAATAATATTATTTAAAATGTGAAAGTTTAGATGGATGTTTGTTAATCACACCAGAACAGCTGAACGGATCTGGATGAAATTAGGCACCTAGAGATAGATTATATATATATATATATATATATATATATGTATATACATATGTATGTCTTAAACATCTCTTCATCTTCATCTCATAAGGATTCGTATAATTTATAAATATAAGCTTAAACTAAATTAACATCATTATAATAGTAACTAATTCTGCTAACACACCTTAATAATATACTTGTACTAACCTTAGAACATAACTGTCCTTATTGTCCCGAGGTGGGCGTAAATAGCTGCGACACAGTTTATACTAATGCAGCTACTAACGATCTAACTGTTTTTAATATGTATGTTATTATGTTCAATAAAAATCTTTAAATCTCTAAACATCGATCAAAAAAGTACCTACCAGATACACAATCCCATGTAAAAGTTCTCTTAAAACTGTCACCAATTGTCTTTAGGTAATTGTTCTAGTCGAAATAAATATACAACAATGTAAATTGAACCTTAAATGCAATGCTTAAATATATTTTTTTTATTAAAAGCGCGCTCAAATGTTCAAATGAGCGCTCATTAGGAGGACATTTCTTGCCACCGATTGTGTATATAGTACTTTTTTGATCGATGGTCTTAAATATAGGTACTACATATGTTCTTGAGAATTTTTTTACTTTGGATGACAAATAATTACGGTGGAACATTAAATTGCATAATGTTTTCGCAAGAAGATGAATCAATGGCGATATCAGTTACTGATATTGTAAAGAATGTGGCTCGTTTGTATATAACATACGTACTTGTATGAAATTTATTTAGTACAATTATGTCAATATGTAAGTGTCGGTTTACCTCTAATAATAAAAAACAAAAAGAAATAAATTAAAATTAACTATTTTAAATGAAGGTGATTTAACCTATAAATTCGTGACAAAACGAGCATGACTGGCAATTTTCAAGACGACACAAAATGTGGTAAGTATTGTGGTTAAAGGCTGATTCAATTTCTTCAAATCGATCTAAATGTTTTCATTGAGATATAATTATAAAATACCTAATATTTAGAGCGGACATTATTATCTACACTAATATCATGAGGTAATTAAAGGGTGTCAATTTGTAGTATAAAGTAAGCTTCGGAATTACAAATCGAATTCCGGATATTCAACGAAGTAGTAACAAAGTGACACTTGCACTGCAAAATCGGACAGTAGGTGACAAGTACACAGTGGCACAGTCCAAAGCTCGGCCACAGCTCGGCGCTTGTACTCAGTAGTCAGTAGCGTGCAGCGCGTCAGCAGCCGAGCCTGGCCGGCGCCAGCGCCCACAGCGCGGCGGCGCCCAGCGAGCGCGGCGCCAGCCACGCGCGCGCCGCCGCCGTTAGCCTGGGATTTATTCCATTTTACATTTTACTATTAATTTACTAATACGTAACGGTAACGTATTGTAGATAACATATATCTATACTAATATAATAAATAGGTAAAGTTTGTGATATTGTGACTTTGTGGCGTTGTAGGGGGAATCTCTGGATCTACAGAACCGACAGACTTTTTATACCGGAAACCATCTCTTATGGGTGTAAAAATATTGGGAAGTAAGCTAGGAACGAACCCGAGCAAAGGGAGAGTGATTCGCTAGTTGTTCTATAAAATACGATAAATACCCCCTCGGGGTCAGTAGTTCAGAAATAACATTTGCGGTACTTTATACTTTTTATTTTAACCTCAATTCTCATAGATTATTATCTTTTTATAGATTTTAAACTGTATATTATAGTTGTAAGTAAGTATTTATATTACTTTAACATGCAAATTATAATTATTATCATTTTTGAATTATCTAGTACCTGTATGTCCTCCACAATAAACCCCTTATTTTAAAATTCATTTATAGACGCTATACATCCATCATAGGGTCACCTCGAAAAGAAGTAAAACGTTTTAAAGGTAGGTACATGCGAGACCTATTAGGGGTGATCTGTGTTTCAGTCTGACTCTACACCCTAGCTATTATTTCAGTCTTGCTCTAAAACCTTGCTATTATTTCAGTCCGACTCTAGCTGCTACTGACAGATACCTGTAGAGCGGCGCGGGCAGCCAGCGCCGGCGCGCGCGCTCCAGCTCCGCGCTCAGCTCGCACACGCGCGCGCTCAGCTCGCGAACCTCCTGAGCATTGAGCGCGACGCGCGCGCTCAGTTCTGAGCATTCCTCCTCGGCGCGCGACCGCGCTCTGTTCAAATACCACAAGCTCTGTTAGTGCTCGTTAAGATCAGAAATTCTCCGAATACTGTCTTGTCGATAGTTAGAGACTTTGCTAAACAAACAATCACAGATTCAATATTCACTGAAAAAATTAACTTATATTTAATGTTAATATGAACGAAGTAATAATATCTTACGTTTCGAATAGACCATGGTCCGGCTGGACCATTGCCTATTTTAAAGAACAAACGATAGCGAGTTCAAGCCCCGGGCGTGGTCCGTCTGAGATTCACATCCGATTTTCATGTACAAATCATTTTTCGACATAATTTGTTAACACCGTGAAAGGAATCACCGTTAACAACTCGCATTCAGTGAGCAAGGTGCCTCCGGAGGGGCGATGCCCAGTACCAGCGCCCAGCAGTGCTTAAGTCAAACACTGTTCCTTAATGAAGAATAAAAAAAGCACTTTTAAAATGTTATTAACAAAATATAAATGTGATTTCACTGACTCCCTCTCCCTGCGCAAGTCGTCCCCCGCGGCCCGCAGCGCCGCCGCCGCCGCCGCGCCCTGCGACACCTGCTCGGCGCGCTGAGACAGCTCCTCCTCCAACGAAGCTATCTGTCATTCATGTCTTTTGTTAATCGAAATACAAATATTTTTTCAGATTTTTCTTCCATGACTGTAATTACTGTAAACTGTAAATAAATAAATATGTTGGAAAATTAACACACAGCGCCATCTAGTTCTATGATAAGGTACGAGGCTTGTATTATGGATACCAGATGGTTGGTACATTACACACAAATAACTTTAAATACATACATATTATAAATATAAACACCCATGACTGGAGTACAAACATTCGTCATTACACAAATGAATGCCCCCAGCGGGACTCGACCCCGCGACCGCTGGCACAGCAAGTAGGGTCACTACAAACTGAGCCAAACGTGTCGTCTTACACTTACTAGTACTTAACTGTAAAACATTCTGAACGTAGGAAATTAAAATTAAACCGCGAAAGATACCGAAAAAATGGCTGTTGTATTTAATATGTCAAACGTTCGCCTAAATCTAAGATAGTATTAACTCGTTGTAATTATATAACGATTTGACTGCGACCATCATCATCACTAAACGTATGTATGTATGTATGTATTAAGTAAGTACTTAGGTTATATTGGTTTCCAACAATTAATGAAATATATTTCATAACTTTAAAATATATTAAATTAAAATCATATTGAGTGATGTCAGTAATAGGTACCTATATACTACACAATATTATGTATATAAAAGTAACACGTCTCAATAAAGAAGTCATCTTGTCAGACGTTTTTCCTGTACAGTTGTACATTTTATAATTTATACATTTTTCTTATATATGTATATACATACCTATTGTCACATGTTTATGCCTACGTTTGTTCGCTTTGAGACATAAGGCAGTAGTAGTCCAGTGGTACCTAACGTGCTCGCTTAGGAAACTGACTAAAGTGGGTTCAAATCCCGGTTCGCACACGTCTGATATTTTTATGTGCGAATCATTCCCAACAAAATTAACACTATTCTTAGGGTGAAGGAAAAACATCGCGAGGAAACCCTGCATGTCTTTGTGTATACGTACCCACGTTTACCCACATTTTACTCTTAAACTATTGGAGTTATGTAGCATATTGCTCAAATTTGGCAGGTATGTGTATTTCATGTAAACTGCTTGACAATTTAGCCAAATTTAAAAAAAAATAGAAAAAATTGGGTGGGCACCTCCTAATGTAACCGAAGGAGGAAATTAAAATTAAGTCCACGTGTATATGTGTGGCAAATCTTTGGATTCGATAGGTCTCTAAAATTCAGACCGATGATAAATCATCATTGATAATTCTAAGTGATTCTTTTACTCAAACCAATAGTTGTAGAGTTTTATGCTTCGGAAATAATGTTAAGTGCTTTAATTTCGAAATCGTTTGGCGAAAGATTTCGAGTAATTTTTGACAATCCTTGCCTTAAATAGCATTTTCGTTAAAATCAATGGGTTATCGCCCGCCTACTGCATGAATATTTACAGTATGTCAGTATGGTATTAATGTAGGATCACTATTCACTACATAGTATAAAACAAAGTCGCTTCCCGCTGTCTGTCTGTCCCTATGTATGCTTAGATCTTTAAAACTACGCAACGAATTTTGATGCGTTTTTTTTAATAGATATAGTGATTCAAGAGGAAGGTTTATATGTATAATACATGCATATTATAGTGCAGAAAAGCCGAGAAATTCAAAGATTTTTATTTCATACTACCCGTTAAAACGTACCTAAGCTAGTGTAGTATACTTGTAAATAGTAAAGGTCCGTAGTGGTGGTGCATACCGTGCGGTCGGCGCGGGCGGCGCGCTGCAGCGCGGCGCGGCGCGCGGACGCCTCGCGCGCCTGCGCCGCGCGCGCGCCCGCCAGCTCGTCGCGGCAGTTGCGCCAGCCTCAATGATGGAACGGACTAATTAGATACGTGCTACCTGATATTCATTTTCGTATTCAGAAGGTAATTCAGTTTGTTTGCCGAATAATTATCGAATATTTAAGCAGCATTATATTAAAATGAATAATATTTCAGAAAGCTTTTTCTGACAACCGTATATAAATAAATGAATATATTGGGACATTAACACAGCACCATATAGTTCTCTGGTAAGCTACGAAGCTTGTGTACGGATACCGGATAGTTGATACACTATACATATATAACTTTGAATACATACATACTCGTATTATAAATACAAACACCCATGACTGGAGTACAAATATTCGTGTTCATCACACAAACGAATGCCCCCAGCGGGACTCAAACCTGCGACCGCTGACACAGCAAGTAGGGTCACTACAAACTGAGCCAAACGTGTCGTCCGTATATATAGTGTTCGTATATGAAAACAAACATCACCTTGCATAACCATTTAAACCTACCAATAATTAATTAGAATTTTGCACTACCGTATCCATTTTAAAAATCATATACCTAATACATATTTTTAGACAGGTACAATATTGTATTAAGTATATAGCTCTATTATCTGTTTTTTATACAATCTTATGGGATCTTCATTATCAACATAATATTTAGAAATCACCTAAACAATGTACACTTCATACATACATATAATCGATATAATAATCTATGTAGGTATGTAATAAATAGGTAACATATTAATTTTTATTAAAATATTATACGAATATGCCATTAACTTAATTTCAACACATGCTGAGAACGTTAACACTTGCTGTGTATGTCGCGAATTAACTTCAAAGCTAGTGTAAATTTCAATCTTACACAATAAAATATATAGAAGTGGCGAAGAAGCGAGAATCATTATACATAAAATTATCATCAAATCAATTTATTGACAGTAGGTAGGTACTTGTAACATATTTTATACTAAATACATAAAATTATATTTGATTGTGCATTGTTTTATTGAAAGCATGACAGACGGTCGCAAATTCGATTCTAACAAAACTAAAATGTCATTACAGAACTTTTATTAGAGCGCACATTGGACAAAAAATGCCAGGTGAATTCTGAGGGGTAGGATTATTATCGTATACTTAGAGATTACATCTAACAATAGTAGGTATAATACGTCTAGCAAAAACATTTTCAATAAACATTACATATTTTTTCATATATTAAGTACAACATATAAATTGCATATATTATGTAATTAGCACGTAGGCAAGTGTAGTATTTAAACTCACCAATGCCCATCTCAGAAGCGCGATCTTCTGACGCACAAATATCTTGTTCCAAAGCATGCTTTTCCTTTAAAAAAATACATTTTTTTTTAATGAAATTAAAAATAAAGGGAAGTTAGTGACTTCCCTTTAAGTGGGTTCGATTTATGAAATCATCTATGTTATTATAATATGTTATCCAGATAATTTAGGTTACCATTAAACCTAGTTTAACTACGATTGAACCTGGTCCGGCCGTATATCGATATTTGATACGACGGACAAATCCTCTGTTTGTAAACGACTCACAGATAACATTATTTCCTAAGCGAATAGTGTCCTTTATACACTACCTGGTAGATAACTGGTAGATAAACTGTAGCTTGTGTACATAAACAATTTTGTGTTCCTATATATACGTTAACTGAGATACATTACAACACGTACACATACATATACAAATACATACATACATACTACATACATACATACACACATTGTACACACCTTACTGCAATTTAAACGTTTCTTAGATGGTGCCATGGTGGTAGATTCCTCAGGGACTTACAGACGGACATTAAATTTAAATTTAAAAATGTAAAAGTTGACGATTCAAAAGTGCTTGTAAAAGTCTATTTGAATATTTTTATTTGATTTGTATATAGGAGACTCTATATTCCGATACATTATCTATTGTAGCACGCGTTAAGCGACCAAAAGCGTCATCTAAAAAATACCTAATAATAGCCAATATGTACCTCTAACATTAGTTTTAACCTACAACACAACCTTACCTTTTCGAGTACAGCTTTTTCCAAGTCCTTATCTCGCAACAGCTGCTTGAGTCTCTCTAGTTCTTTCATGGCGAGGCGCACCTTCGCGTTGTCGGAGTCCAGCAACGACTTTAGAGCACACACTTGTATGCGAAGGCGCTCCGAGCAGCTCACCTGGGTTTACACCCGAAATACATTTTATATTCATTGGTCTATGGCTAGAGCTTAGTTAGTTTCTTACGTCTATAAGTGTTAATTATGGCAATAACAAACAATACAAAATTATAAAAAATCTAATAATATTGATATATAGTATTTGTATCAAATTACTTTTTTTGTTTTTATGTAAAACTTTTTGTTTTTTTTTTTTGTTGATTCCTCATACAAACTTTCATGCCTATTTTCACCCCCTTAAGGCATGATTTCCGCGATAAAAAGTATTCTGTCTTTCCCAGGGTCTTAAACTATCTTCTTACCAAATGTCATCTAAATCGGTTCAGTAGATCCAGAGATTACCCCCTACAACCTCACAAACTTTACCTCTTTATATTATTAGTATAGATCATACAAGTAAAATAAACAGTAGTAAGTATTAGGTAGGTTTTCTATTTATTGTAATGTGTAAAAATAAAAAAATTATATCGATTTTCAAATTTTATGTTAAAAATCTTAAAAAAAATCTAAGTAGTACTTCAAAAGAAAAACATTAAAAAGTAAAAAATAACTGATTGGTAGTTTTCTTTTACTATAGATAAAAAACACTAAAAAAACTAAGCTTCACAGCTTAGCACACCGTCGCCAAGTTGCTTGTCTGTCGGTTTTCTACAGACTGTACTTCGGGGAGTGTGCCCACGAGCTCCACAGTCTCATACCGCCATCGCCATTCTTCTATCGGAACAGCAGACGTACTGCAGGATACCATCCTTTCTTGGTTGACATTCCGACCACTCGCACTAAGCGCTATTCGTCATCTTTTATAATGCGCACAGCCAAGATGTGGAATGGGCTGCCTGCGTCTGTTTTTCCGAGTGCGTATAACCTGAACCTATTTAAGGTGCGTGTTAACAGGCTTCTCCTGGGCAAACTCGCTAGATCGTAGACCTTATCTGTGCCTTCGAGCTAAGATAAAGGTCAAGAGTGAGCCCATTTCTTATAAAAAAAAAAAAGATATCTAATCAGATATTTTCGAAGTCGGTGTGCTTTGATTTCTATCGGCTGGCATCGTATTAGCCGTTGAAGAATCCCACTACCTTCTGACCTTACCATCAGATCATGTCGACGATACCGAACCACTGCAGTATCAACGGAAATAGAAACACTTGCAAAGTTTCAAATCATGATGACAATTAGGAGTAGGTTAAATTTATCATTAGCTATGTTTCCACTCTCAGGGGTTGTATTTTTTTTTTAAATTTAAATGGGAAGTATTACAGAAATGAATCACCACCACCACTGGAAGTATTACCACTTTCAAACAAAACAAAAATTGTCCAAATCGGGTAATAAATGACGGAGTTCGGAGGTAACAAACACCAGAAAAAAAAAACCCAAAAAAAATACAGCCGACTGGAGAACTTCCTTTTTGAAGAAGTCGCTTGAAAAAACAATAAATAATGATAAATACCATCTTTAATATACCTAATAATATATTAACTTTAGACTGACCCCAGTAACACAATTTGTATTATTGTCGCCCCCGCTTTATAAATCTCTTATAACCTAATGGTTTAACTTTATGTAGATCTACGTTCAAAGAGGCAATAAAAAAAATACTTACACAGAGGAACTTACGAATAAATGGATAGTATAACCAATAATTAGACTTACGACGAATATTATATTCGGTCATAAGGTGAATACCGAATATTCCGCGGGCTTTCTGGCCGAATAGCCGAATATTAGGCAAAAGTATTCGCTCAGCGCAAAACTTGTGGTAGGAAAGCTTGTTGACATGTTTGTTTCATGTTAGGCGCTAGGAAGTAGTATTTATTCATTGCGTCTTTACTGTGAAGCTGGGATTTTCACTTCTAAATTTTAATTATGACACTGCACTTGGCATAGAAATTTATTTAGTAGTCATTTCGTTATTTTTTGTAATACACAACTTGATTATGTACCTATATGACTACTTTAATGGTTATAAGAAAAATTATATCTTTATATATGTAATTCTTCTGTGAGTGTGTATGTCACTGAACTTCTCTCAAACGACTGGACCGATTTTGATGAAATTTTTTGTGTGTGTTCAAGGGAATCTGGGAATGGTTTAGATTCACAATTTGAATAATAATTTTCATCAAAAAAAATATTAAAAAAAGTTTGAAATTTTCAAATTAAAGACGTGTAGACAGGACAACGTCTGTCGGGTCCGCTAGTATAATTATAAAATAAATCAATATTTTCATTTTACCAATTATCTGATTACAACAAAACATTATTTCTTATTATTCGGTATTCGGTAGGGTAGTATGTAGATATTCGGTATTGGCCGAATAGGAAAAAAATAGCCGAATAGGCCGAATACCGAATAATAGCCAAATATTCGTTGCAAGCCTAAATAACCATATTATTAAATAATATTATTAAGTAACACCTGAAACTCCAAGGTTTTCCGCACGCAGCGCAACTCCTCGCGCCGCCTGCGCCACGACGCCACCAACATGAACACGCCTATCTTGAGCGCCGCCTGCTCCTCCTCGCCGTGCAGCGGCGGCAGTGCCACGCGCGGGAACGGATTGTCTGAACTAGAATAAGATAAAGGTGGTCGTGGGTTTGAGTCCCGGGTCTAGCCAAGTTTAGTTATTGATTTTTTTGATGGAAAGTCGACCATATTTTATCGCCTTCGGTTCTGAGCCTGGTCTCTCACAGCTATTATCGTATTAGGTATCACCGGAGTATTAAGAGTAAAGGGAATATTAAGAGTGCATTTGTGCTTGCACTTATATTAGTGTATTGTAATATCTCTTGCACACACGAACAGTGTGATTGGCCGTAGCCGAAATTCTTCATGAGGATATTATTAAATTACGAAACTCTAACCATATTTTAAGTATATATTTCATTCAGTAATCTACACCGAAGACTGAATAGTATTTGAATCCAGGCACAGAAAGCGAGGATTAAGTATACTTGCCTAATACTAAGTATATTGTAAACTGCTAGAGCTTTAAAACTTAAAAAAATAGCACATAATTATAATCATACTGAACGGTGCCCACTAAGTTACCTTAACCACTCTTTCAAACAAGTTACTAAGGTCTATGGAAGTTAGTCTATACATATTATAAAATTCAAACCGAATCGAATCTGTACATTAAATATTTTTTCGAAAATCTTATTGAAATAGTCATTGTTATCGATACAGAGGCCGAATCTATAGTTTTTAGATGTTTATCTGTCTGTGTGTCTGTCGGTCTGTTACCGCATCACAGAAAAACCACTGGAGGGATTTTGGTGAAATTTGGTGTGGTGATAGCTGGTTATCCGGGTCAACTATAGGATACTTTTTACCGCGGAAAAATGTCTCATTTCTGAGAAAAAAATACAAAAACTGATATTTAAGAATATAAGAGTATACTAATATGTAAAACCTAAGAACTAAGAATTTGGTTTTTGGTCATCTGAACGCGGGCGGAGCCGCGGGCAATGCTAGTATTCTTATAAATTACCTTTAATGAGTGGGTAATGAATCTCACACACATTTTGATTGAACGCACAAGTATATGAATGTAGTATGTATGCTGAACATAAAAAACATGAGTCACCCTTCTCGTCTCATCCTCTTGTTGGGAGTCAAGTCCTCCATAGATACAGCCTTGGGACCAATTTTGGAGGCTCTGGCGGGAGTCTGCCGGAGCTCGTCGAGGCAAGTGCGTATCCTGGCCAAGTTAGGGCTTGGCATAGCGGCCTTCGCTGTGAACTTGTTGACCGGCGTGGAGAACAACTGCTTCTTTGGATGTACTCTTTGGATGCGGCTAGATTAGTTATATTTATATTAGGTATAGTTTAATATTTCATTATTAAAATCACCTCTTAAAATCCTTCAAATACTGATACCTCACTCGATAGACTTGTAAAAAAATGGCCCCTAAAATAAAGTATTTTGTTTTTTTTTAATATTAGGTAATAATATACTCTATGACACTCGTGTTATCAAGAAAAATTTAACAACGTATAATTCATTATGTTAGTTTAGCTATTTAGGAGTTACAAGGGAACATGGGCTAGGATATGCGTATTACATTACATATACGTCATACAAGTCATACACATAACCTCCTTTGGTCTTCACCGCAGTCGGGTAAAAAACATCTTTATATGTTAATATCGTATTAATAGGCATAAGAAAACAGGTTCAAGTAGAAGGTGATTAGCCTTACACAGCTCGCAGGTTGTATTGTATATTTTTCTACCAACATACATAATATGTAGTGATAAGTCATATTGCATTTCATTGTGTAATAAAATAAGGCTTAGCGTATACAAAAAAATGTTTAAACACAAAATGAAAAAATATATTTTATTTCAGTTTTATTCGACGCATATTAAATATAAAACGCGTTTGTTTTCATCTAATTCACTTTTCAATTATTTATTCGTTAATAGGTACCTACCTAATACATATTTACTATTGGCCTTTTCCTTCTATAATATTTGATTTACATACTGTGTAATATTTTTGCTCAGATTTACCTCATAATATTTTGCTTCGATCATTTTTAATGACTCTGCCGGTTCCCCATGACGTGGAGCCACTTACGTGGGCCCGTGGATTGTGGACGAGGAAAAACAATATAATGAAATTATAATTTTATATGTGAACGAGACGCGAGCGCGCTCAATGCTCTGCCGCAGTGTTATCGATATGTCGTGCAACATTAACAATACTTATCCCGACTATTTGTAAAGGTCGGTTTTTCCGATTGTGTGTTGTGTTTGTGTCACAATTTATATCAACCAGTGGCTTTTTTAATTTTATTTCTGTACGTATTGAATTTTTATTATCATTGCTTAATTTCTTAACTTAGCCTAAATAAAATTAGTAAATTTAAGTACCATATATTTTTTGGAATATATAAATAGGCAAAGACCAAACATTCCAGTAACTTGTTCTGTTCTATTTGTAAACCGGTTTATAATTTTTTTTTAATTTAGTACGAGTTATTTATTTATTATTTATGAGCTTAAGTATTACGAATAAAAAAAAATTGGAAACAGTTTTTTATATACATATGTATATGTTTAAACAGGTAAATTCCAATTACATATATACGTTTTCCTCAAATTTTCAATAGTATTTATAGTTAAATCATAAATGCCTTAAACATGAAAAAAAATGCTTGATTGTAAAATTTATATGTGTTTTTTTCTCTATGTACGATATGTGTTAATAGAAAAAAAAAACAAAACAAAACTTTTAAGAATTTAAAGGCTATTCAAATTTTGTTCCTAAACTTAAGCTTTAACCCTTCACTTGAACTTTGAAGGACTTATAGATATTTACATAATACTAGCAGAACCCGCGGCTTCGTTCGCGCTAAAACTACAATAAAAAACTCTAAAAAGGTAGGTTTCATACAAACTTTCATCCCCTATTTTATACCTATATGGGTGAATTTCGAAAAATAATAAAACACTTATTTAATTTTATTGAATCCAATCCGTCTCTCTGTTTCGACGTGAAAGAAGGATAAACAAATAAACACACAATAACACTTTCACATTTATAATATTAAGTACGGATATAATAAAATTTGTAATATAGGTACTCCAAGGCGTTTAAAGAATTGAAGATTGTTATGCTTAGATAGAATGCTATCTGCCACTGGATAGCCCAGTGGTAACGCGCTTGCTTGGGAAACTGACTGAAGCGGGTTCAAATCCCGGGTCTCGAACTTCTGATATTTTCATGTGCGAATCATTTCCAACATGATTACCACTAGTGTTGCGGTGAAACCTGCATGCTTGAGACAATCTAGCAAGTTTACGAAAGACATGTGAAGTCCACGAACCCGCACTTGGCAAACGTGGTGAACGATGGCCTGATCCTCCTCGCATTGAAGGGAGGCCCGTGCCCAGTAGTGGGACTTTAAAAAGGGCTGAATGAATGAAAAACTGCTTAGATATAATAAGAGAATCTAAAATTGTTATTCTGAGACTTAATTTTTCAATAATAAGCAGGGCCGGAATAGCGCTGCCCCTGGACATAGTAAAAAATGCTGCCCAATTATCGAAATTTTGCATAGATTCGGTAGTCTTGATAAAGTTTTTTTTTTTTGTATAATACAAAAAAATATTTATAAATGATTTTAAATTTTCGAAAAATGTACTAGGAAGTTATTTTTTTTAAATGATCATTTTTTAGAAAATAAAGAAAGTGTTTTTCATAACGCGAAGAGAATTTTTTCCCACCCTTCGAATTTTGCTGCCCTTAAAAGTTTGCCGCCCTAAGCACTTGCCGACATAAGTTCCTTGTATGTAAATATATCAATTAGTTCCTACGATGGAATGGGTTTTTAGCAAAAAGATTCTGAAGGATTCGTGAAATGTAGACTTTGAGTAGAATATGCCCCAAATACAAACTCTATATTATATACAAAGGTTTATCTGAAATATTTGCATAAACAAATTAAACCTTAAGCTTTACTTTCACTTCCACTTCTTTCTATAGTTTCAAATTGTTTTTATTAATAAAAGATGGCGTATACCCAGCGGTAATTCCCCGACACTTACAAGGTCGCAAAGCCAACAGCACTATTAAGTTCAACAAAAAACGAGGGATTTTTATTTCTTGAATAAATTTAATCCTCATAATCCTTCTACTATTATAAATATACAAAACCCGCGGCTTCGCTCGCGTTAAAACTAAATAATTAATACAAAGTTTTAATTACACCTCCGTAGTACCCGGCGCGCCGTGGTCCTGTCTACCATGCCGTGTAGGATTTTCAAAGACCTATTTGACTCTGTTGAGGGATGATTTTGGAAAAACTATGATACACGTGTCTTATAATTCAACCTCCCATTTCACCCTCTTAGGGTTGGAATTTCAAAAAACCCTTTCTTCGCTTCAGAAAGAACACACCCTCCAGATTTCATATCTCTAGGACCATCGGTTTAGGCTGTGCGTTGATATAATACCTAATCAGTTAGCCAGGACTTTGAATTTTAGATAGATAAAAAAGTAAATCTACAGAAAATAACACATCTTACGCAGGAGGAGTGAGCAGGTTGCACCGCTCCCTCGACAGCTCTCTTTCCGAGATGTCCCCCGCGCCCGCGCTCGCCGGCGAACTCTGCACCATCTTCCGACCTTCTGGCATACTATTCCTCTTGCAAGACACGGCCTGTATTTTGCAAGACAGACAATTCAAGAATAAGAATAAGAACTATAAAGGTATGTTTGGAAACATATTAGCTTAATGACAATATTATAGCATGCTTTAGTTTTTGCATGTATTATTTGCATGAATCATACGTATATGTAGGTATAAGATTAGAATTATCTCTATATTGTGTTATGTTATGCAAAGTTACAAAAGCCAACAACATCTTTATTTGATAACACGAGTCTATGACTCATGGTCACGTTTAAGAAAACTATGATTATTTAAATCTTTTTAGTAATATTTCGTTAATATGCGTTTTATAAAAAAATATTCAAGGCAGACCCAGGTAACTAGATTTATTCTAAAAAAGTTTAAGTGCAAGTTTGACTTGCTTAAAGAATGTTTTCGGCCTCTTAGGATTTATTAAATTAAAAATAAAATAAAAAACCGATATGTAATTTGCTATTTTGTGGTGGCGGCCATCTTGGATTTAAAATTTATCATAGTGTATAGTATTCTACTAGTCAAGCCCTTTCATTTGATACCCAAATTGAGGGAGTTGTGAAAAAAATATGTTATCCGCCATTTTGTGGCGGCGGCCATATTGGACTTATTTTGATCAAACATAGCTAAGAACACTCCCGAGTATTTCACCTTTCAAACAAAACAAAATCAAAATCAGTTTATCCGTTCGGTAGCTACGATGCCACACACAGACACTTCAAATTATCTAACTAAACTTTTTTATTTCATTTTCTAGTTTGTCCCCCAAAAATAAGCCTCAAATTTATTTATTTACTAATTGGGTTACTTAACTCTACACCGGTACATGTAAAATATATATTTCTTCCGTCCTGTAACTTTAGACAGACAGATGACAGGATCGCAGAAGATCTTATAAAAGTTAAATTTCTTTTGAAGTAAGGAAACCTAAAAGCAATATTAATATCGTTGCACCTACTGCTTACAATTTTCTCCGTTTCCGTTAAATAGAGTTTAAGCTTCGAACCACGGTAATGTAATGCATATATTACCGTGTTCGAACTCTCTACACCCACTATTATTGTATATGTACATTGTATAATACATACATATATTGTATCGTGCATTGAATGAATAATCAATAACAGATTTATGTAATAACTAACAGATATACATTATTCTTACCGTCACTTATGAGATTCACAAAATGTATTTAATTTAAATAATAGATACAATTATGATAAATGATGTAAGAAAATTGACAATTGATCAAGAATGATAATGACATTTGTCACTGAACCCATTTAGTTCCAATTTTAAAATCGTTTTTTTTTTTAATTAAACCTGTTGGCTTAAAATAAATACATAAAATATCTTTGTATACAGAATAACATTATAAAAAGAGCTTGTATAAATTATATAACAAAAGAGTATTTTCCAATTGCAAAAAAAATTGCAGAATTGTTGTTTATTTGTTGTGTTTGATTTGTTTTTCACGCGTATTTACCACATTATTTGAAATTTTATATATTATTATTAATTATCTTTTAGGAAGGTTTTCAATATAGGTATATTTTACAGTTTTTATAACAACATTAGAACTTTGTCCAAGGCAACATTTTATTGGCAGTTAAATATAAAACCAGTTTTTAAAATAACTTTAATATGAGCATTATATATATATAAAAGAACATATTTTACAAATTATAACAAATAGGCGCATATAAAATATGTATTGATTTATTTATATAAAACCTATTATCTAGGTACTTATTATTCACAATACGCTTCCGCATTTCGGTCCACGTGTAAACAGTACCTTGGCCTAATTTTTCAAATATTAATTAAGTAACAAATACAATGCAAAGCACAGTGAGTAGGGGTTAGTTTGATAGCATCAAGAATAATTTAAAGGTATAAGGGAATAGGGAGCGGCGTCGCGCGGCCGGCGCCGAAGGCGGCGTCGCGGCGGGACAGGTATGCTTTACGGGCCTTGCTTCATAATGTGCTATTTTATTATAATATCATAGCTACCGAGCCTAGCTGATTTGTAGGATTTTAAGTGAAAATAAATTTATTGTTAGGCTTAATTGAAAATTACTGTAAAGGTTTTATTATACTTACGAGGAGGGTGTCAATAAGTCTTCGTAGTACCTTTTATTATAATTAATAGGTCTTTTGATTATTATAATGTGATGTATATACATAAACATATATATTACGAGTACATAAACGATTCGATTCAATAAAGCGCGAAAAGCACACACATTTGTTCACAAATATACTTAATATGAAATTTCAGTTAAGATTCGATTGCATGACTATGTTATACTTAATCCTCTTGTTCTTTACAGGAGGATTTCACTTTTTAATTTTTATACTTAATGAAAAAAAGAGTATATTTATATAATATTTTATAAAAAGTTGCTACCTAAGTACATAATATTTTATAGGAACTCAGTACTTCAGGATAGCTACCTACAGCATAAATCGTAGAGATTCACCCAGCATCGATAAGTTCCCATGGTTAGGGCTAGGGCATCAGGAATAGGTTCCCCCCCAACGTGCGTTCACCTTGTCGTGGTGGGGGGGGGGGGGCGGCTCAGGGCTCAGTAGTGCCCGGCAATACAGCCGGGCGCGAAGCCAAGAATCGCACATGGAGGTGGCCCACTTCGGTGGGCGGTGGGAGGCGGCCCTCTTCGGAGGGCGGTGTACCATGCGGGTTGCTCCTGGTACTTCCCTGATAGCAGAGTGGACCTTGGAGCAACCCCGTGGTTGTTGTGGTCTGCTTCGGCAGACCATTTTTTTTTTTTAACGTTGGGAAATGCATTTACGCAGGAAGTGTGGGACTCACCGGCGAAGCCAGTACTACCCACTAAAACCCAACAAAACCTTCCCCCGTCTTAATGGGGCGTCGCAGGATCGCTTACGCATTCAACTACGACGCCCCGACGGCAGGTCTGCCGAAGCAGACCACAACAACCATGGGGTTGCTCCACGGTCCACTCTGCTATCAGAGAAGTACCAGGAGCAACCCGTATGGTACACCACCCTCCGAAGAAGGCCGCCTCCCACCGCCCACCGAAGCGGGCCACCTCCCTGTGCGTTTCTTGGCTTCGCGAGTACACTACTGAGCCCCCCCACCACGACAAGGTGAACGCACGTTGGGGGGGTGCTTCGGCAGACCTGCCGTCGCGTCGGGGCGTCGTAGTTGAATGCGTAAGCGATCCTGCGACGCCCCATTAAGACGGGGGAAGGTTTTGTTGGGTTTTAGTGGGTAGTACTGGCTTCGCCGGTGAGTCCCACTGTTCGTGCGTAAATGCATTTCTCAACGTCAGGAATAGGTATTTCAAATGTTGATATTGAATTATTCTTATTAAAAGGGAAAATTTTATTTTTTTTAAAAGTAAATAAAAAAAGAAAATGTTACCGCTTGATAGAAGAATGATAATGAAAATTTTGTTAGAATCTTATAAGATGTGTTAGTATATATTAAGTAGATTAAGATAAAAAATTGTTAAAGAAGCCCCGTGAGATAAAAGGCGATAATATGGTTGATATTATAGCTATAAATTTGATTACATGAGAAGAAAAGTACTTAGATCACCGCTAGAAGATTATATAAATAGATAAAAAAATATTTATTAAGGAAAGATGATAAAGAAGAAAAAGATTGTCATAAAATGATGAAGTTCCTATTTCTTGATTTGAAAAATTACTTTGATAATTTTAAAATTAATGATATTAAACAAAAAATTAATTTACTATCGTAAAACATAAAACATATTATTTTTACAGAATTAAGTAGAATACTATAATAAATTACTAAAGTTACAAACGCACCAGGCTAATTTTATGTACCTACCTAATGACAATAAAATCGATTGGGTCAATACTACAAAATTCTACTAACCCCACTAATTTTGAATTTTGAGGCAGGTCAAGAAACTCTAATTATCCATATAGTATACGCAATTTCAAAAGGGTGGCATACAGAAGGGTTGTTTCAAATCGAACCCGCAGTTTGGCGCCACACGCAAAGTAGCAGGACGACACGACCCCGGCAAGTCGCGCCGCCTTGCCGCGCCGGACTGACTCATTGTAGCAACTTTCTAATTACGATGTGTATTCTACTGATACTGCGAACAGGAAAATGTATATTTTGCACTCTACCAGAGATAATGTTGTTATGCCCAAACTGCAAATAATATTAACATTGTTTATATTGAAAGCATGAACGAATTAGAATAGAAAGCTTTGAGACTAATACTTTTGTTAGTATCTTAGCGATTACCTAAATTACTTTATTATAATATTTTAATTCTAATAAGTTCATAATAATTAATGAAAATTATAGATTAGCTTACTCTTCTATCTGTAAGTAAAATAATTAAACAGTATTACTACATATAAACAAAAATATCTCATAAAACCTGTTTAAAGCTATTTTGTTTAATATTTATGGCTAAGAGTAAAGAGGGAGCGTACTACTTATTACATTCTTAGCGATAATAGACAGCTTGACATGTTTACATAATAATAATAATATGTATTATGTTGTAAATAATAAAAGTTAATATGCAATAGTATAATGATATAACTGTGTTATGGCTATAAATAATTATGTAAGTACCTACTATAAGAAAAACCCCAGACTCTACACTAAAACTCTATGTAAAGATGAAAATTATAAAAAGCTTTTCCGAATCGAAATAATATCAACGCTATGACTCACACGAATCTACTGAAAATGTTACACCCACGCACTGAAAATTGGGATCATCCAATAAAGCCTTCTGAGTCATACTGTTCTTACTCCGAAATATTGGAATTAGGAAGGTATAAGTCGTCCCGACGATATCACTTTGCAGAGATTCCAAGGCGGTCTTTTATTAGATTTACGTTAGTGAGTCGTGTGAATTTATCACTGCATTACTTTTTGGCCTTAAATCTTATTGACTCTAAAACAAAACCTGTTCCAAACAAAATTTAGTACGAAACCCCTGTGTAAGTACATCGAATCAACTCTACTACATATGACTATGTACCTACCTACAAGTCAATATGAAAATAAAAATTCAAAATCTAATACGAAATACGCTTATTGTTGCAAAATTTGAGAAGAACAACTATCGAGCAAAAATGGAGAATAGATTTTTTATACCATTATAAAAAATACAAATAAACGCCTATAAATCGTCATCAAATCTAACGTATAGGCTTAGAGGCGATCATAATTCAAATCTAACCATGCTAGCACAATTTGGGAATGATGTGCTTTTCTATTTTTACAGATACATCATTTACTATATAGTTCTTTAATATTTTTTTAGAATTCTTTATACCTGAATCAAAAAGCTTTGAAAATTTAATAGGATGATGATCTCCTGACCGATTCCGGCCACGGCGGCCAATCCCATGGAGACTCTGAGAGTAGCCAACTGCGCAGGAGATATTAAAGTGCAGCGCGTGTGAGGGAGAGCGCAAACACAAGTGCACTCTCTATTCCTGTCACTCTCATACTCCGGTGGGACGACTGCTCGACACGACCAGTGAGAGTGTCGGCGCAGGACCGACGGCTTTACGTGCTCTCCGAGGCACGGGGGTGAAACACCGCCAACTTCCCAACTCCGGGCTGTTACTGAGGCTTACTATACAGAAAGACTCAATAACTAAACTTGGCCCGACCCGGGACCCGAACCCAGGATCTCCGGGTGTGCAGCCGTAGGTACATGCTAGCCACTACACCACACCGAGGTAGTTAGGTAATTATACCATATTGACAAAAAAAACCGCATCAAAATCCGTTGCGTAGTTTTAAAGATTTAAGCATACATAGGGATATAGGGACAGAGAAAGCGACTCTGTTATATACCATGTAGTGATGATTATATGTGCCAGTAGCATTAATGGTAAATAATGTGCATTTTGCATTCTACAACACAGGTTATGGACGATGGTTGAAATTTGAATGGACGGCGGAATATCGTGGGTTTTTGATTTTTTTTTTATTTTAAGTCTTTTTCATGTCACAATTTTCCGTCGTGGGTTTTTTAAATTTTTTATTTATGTTTTATTAGTATAGAAATGCCTTATTTTTTCACCTGGTTGTTACCCAGACGTTTGGTTACGACTTACATTTGGCAACTTATATCGTAAATATTGTGGAGGGAGCAGGAGCGCTACGCAGTGGGAAATGGTATGTTAAAAAACACACTCTATTCATTGCAGAGGAAAGGCTCCGCTGTTTGTTTTTGTTAGTATTATACAATGGACATATATTTTCTCTCCAGTGTGATCTAAGTTATAAATGGTCATTACAAAAATTATAGAGCATAAAATTTTATGCAACTTGTGTGGGGGGAAACATTTATTGATCAGATAAGTAGTTCAGGAGTTACAGCTAAATCAATTTCAGCAAATTTTTAAAATTCCCAAATCGCTTTTGTTTAAATTTTACGACCAAACGAGGCCTGTCACAGGACAACGTCTGCATTCCCAACCTACCTAATCCTTTAACTTAATTATTTTATAGGAAAAAATAGTCTACATTATGAATAAAATTAAGTTTAAATAAAAAAAAACGCGGGAAATAATATTGTGGTAGTATGTGTAATATTAAATATAGGTACATATAATCATATCATAACATAATTAATATTTATGATATATAATATATACTTAGGCATTCGTATTATGTATCTTTAGAAATATGTAGTAAATATTTCATTTATTTAACTAGGTAGGTGTACTGCTTTATTCAGTGTTTTAAAGTTTAAATTCACAGCGCATGCGCAATTTATTACACGTCTGTGCCACGTGACGTATCGCGGCCAATCGCTACTTAACATTGTTAGTGTGACGTACGCTCTTACCGTATACACGCGCGTTATCACATCGACGTTGACTCTTCTAAAGTTAACTTCAAAAGTTTTGATATACGAGTACGTCTCCGAATTACACCTGTTTTTATAAAATTATGAAAACCTCGTATTATCAATTATATCGCTCAGTGTAACAAAAGTGCTTTTAAAATCGCGTTTCGAGATAACCTGTTTCTTAATTCTTGGAACCGTGCATGCTGCGATCGAGACAAGACCTTGATAACTAGTTCCTTGGACGAACGAAGAGACAGTTATTATAGGACCATGCTCGAAGAGGTACGTCTTTAATTTACGTTTCGCGAGCAGCCGTGCGTGTTTATATTGTTAACGTTATAATCGGTGAGGTTGAGTGCAAAGTTCAATTCCAGAACTAAATCTGCAAAGTGCTATACGGCCAGTGTTATGATAATATAAATGTGTGCGACAGAAGGATCTCTGTGAGGTGTCCGGACGAGACACGTTATAGGGCGATGGACAACAACGGAGGTAAACCGTGTGTAATGCATGAATTGTCCTAGTTTGCAACAAAATTTTGACAATTTGACACTTGGGTCTGGCACTTTGCACGTACTTAGTTGAAATAAGTATTTTCTATTTTATTTTGCAAATTCTGTTTTACTTATTGTGCGAGTTCTTTTCATTAGTACGTTTATCGTCTACCACTGTAAATAATAGCTTCCTTCTCAGTCTGTTAGTCAGCTACAAGTGTGTGGTTCTATAAATATCCCAGAATCTGGCCGCAACACCGACTATAGGAAATAGGTAGCATGGGCGTTTAGTTATTGCAAAGTAGAAGTTATTCAGACCAATTTTAGCTCACAATTAAGATATTTATATTAATTATTATTTACTTTCTTACTTAAAAATGTTTACAATACTAATATCTCGAAATTTACTTAAAACATATGTATTGGTTTGGAGTACTAAAATTAATAAATATGAAACACATTAATACATAACATTACTGAGAGCTACCAATACTAATATAACCTCAAAAGTAATCACCAAGTCTATAGTAATGGAATGGTCAAGTATAAATATAGAATAATGATAAATTATTGTTATTTATGTGACAAATACATATAGAATAAATATGTACAATAAAATGTTATATATCTCTATACAGATTGATAACTAAATATGAATGATGGAGATTGCTTATACTTAATGCAAATTAAACTTTCTATATACTTCATTTGAATAAATATTTTGTATATCTATCATTGTTTATTTTTCTGTATTTAGCCTCAATAGTAATGAAATAAAAATATAATCTTCATCATATTCTAAATTGTATTTAAAAATATAAAAGTTAAACAAACAAACAACTATTCTTGACACTTTGCACAGGTAAATACTAATTAATCACAAATTATCCCTTACAATTTCTACGCTACCTGTTTTACTGATGGTACGATGTTAAAATACTTTCTGAGTTAGTACACATACACTAACTCATTAAAAATTCAGCCTTTTATATTATTATGTTTTTTTCATTTACAAAACTAAACACAGACTATTATTTAACAATTAAAACTTCATATGGATTTTTAAATCTTTCATATCATAACTTTAATTAATGTTGAAGATATTTGAATACAAGCTGCTTCTGCCTTTCTGCACAATTTTCAATAATGAAATAAACTGAATGATATTTATTACTTGTATAATGCAAAAGTTTCCTTAAAATTAACACAGCCATTCTTGATTGAACAAGACTCGAATACAACATTATAACACTGCTATTATTTTTAAATCGAGTTCTGATTACAGAAAACGATTATTCTGGGATGCATGCTGCATGTGTATAACTTAATTTTTAATATAGGAATGATAATCTTAAGACAAAGAATAAGATAGGCAGAATTCACAGACAAAAGAATTACAAAGATGATGTTTACCAAAAAATGTCAACATTTTTTGTTTTATGGTATATATGCATTATTCCTGATTTCTTGATATGGCTTTTGTTAACTTTCTTCAGCAATAAAAGGGATATTTCCATATAAACAATTTACAATTATTGAAAAGAAAATGATATGAATAATAATAAACATTAAAAATAATAAGCCTAATACTTTATTCTTTTGTGTATTTTAAGCATTAAAAACATTTTTTTTCCTTTCTAAAAAATGACAGGAAATTAATATTTTTATAAGCAAATATCTATTATACTTTAAAAATCATTAAATTTTAAATTAATTTCAATGTAATGTCTATTTCATATCATATTTTCTGGATATATGTTAGGTATTATAATTTCTTACAATGATGCGATATGGAATTATTCATTTATTTTACTTGTTATAACACATATGCATGTCTCGGTCCTTTTAAAATTACGAGCGCAATGGCAGGAAATTGCTAGTAATATGTATTATAAAAAGCTAACAAATTATTAACATTATATATTAAATTGACGGCTTCACACAATCACATTTGGTACTTGGTGCACTCTGAACTGAATCTACCTGTGTGTATCTCCTTGTAAATACCCATAATATAGCTGTATAAAAGCATAAGTAGGATTATTATAATTTTAACGCCCAATTTCACCAACATCACTTAAGCTACCACCTATGTACCTATGGGATCCCTAGCTTAAAAGTTCCCCTAAACTAGCCCCTAAATTAAATTTCGTTTTACCATCGTCAGAGCCCGTTTTTCTAGTACCTATATTTAGGTGGCATTTTAACATTTAGGTGAACCCGACAGTTATGTCGGTGAAACAGGAATAGTCCCCTAACAGCCCCCTAACCATGCTTAGGGGATCCCTTAAACTTAAATGACGTTAGTGAAATCGGCTATAAGTGTTCTATGTTTTAACATTCTTTTTAATCTAAATTAAAACACTCCTTGACTGATATTATTTTGTCTATAACCGAAAGAAATGTTAAAGTTATGCAATTTATAGATATTATATTGGCACAAATTCAGAATTGGGGACTTGGCCCCTAGCGGAGTGGGTGGTATTTCTGGATAAGGGACGTGATAGGGAGTCGAAATGTTAAATAAATTTTTTAATACAACAAAAGATTCAAAAGTTATTGAGACTTAAAGTTACAACATTTCCATACATTTTCATATATTTCTTTACCACCATTCGGAGTGGGTGGTATTTTTAGATAGGGGAGGTGACAGAGAGTCAAAATATATTAAAAATATTTGGAGGAAACGTACGACTAAAAAGTTATTGAGACTTAAAGTTATAACATATCTAACACATTTCCATACATTTCTTTACCTAAATAAGTGATTACAACAGATAAACATACCTTTAACGAATAGTACGCATCCTTTTTTATGTACATTACACATTTTCACAACAATTAATGCTTTATTGTATTTAATATTTTAATAATTTCACAACACAAACAAAATGATCTTACATTTTGACAAAAGCAAAACTGACACTTTGTTTTATATTACCGCTTAAATGACAACAGATTATATTTGATTATTTTTGCTTTTTCTGTTGGTAAAATATTAATATTAATAAATAAATAAATAAAAAGAAAAATATTATTTTCACTTTATAAATACATTTATAACTTTTTATTTGATTTATGTAAAATATATTGTTTTTACAATTGTACATTTAGTAAAAAAAATCATTTTTTTATCTGTGAATATTTTTAATTATTTATTTATTATTCGTCATATCTGGGTTAGGTTAGGTTAGAACATTTAAGATTATTTATTTATTATTCCTCATATCTGGGTTAGGTTAGGTTAGAACATTTAAGATTATTTATTAATTATTCGTCATATCTTGGTTAGGTTAGGTTAGAACATTTAAGATTATTTATTTATTATTCCTCATATCTGGGTTAGGTTAGGTTAGAACATTTAAGATTATTTATTTATTATTCCTCATATCTGGGTTAGGTTAGGTTAGAACATTTAAGATTATTTATTAATTATTCGTCATATCTTGGTTAGGTTAGGTTAGAACAGTTGCCACAACGCACGAGCCGAGCGAGCGAAGCGAGCGTGCCGCGGTAGCGGCCGGCGAGTGCCATAAATGACTAGAAAACTAGAAAATTCGAATTTCACGCAAAGTACAAATAAAGACAATCATCTGGAGATCATTTTGACAATTGAAAGTGACGTTTTGACTCCAAGTGTCTAAATGGTAGTAATGTCAAAATAATGTATGGAAATGTTATAACTTTAAGTCTCAATAACTTTTGACTCTTTTGTTGTATTAAAAAATTTATTTAACATTTCGACTCCCTATCACGTCCCTTATCCAGAAATACCACCCACTCCGCTAGGGGCCAAGTCCCCAATTCTAAACGGCCGCCATTATATTTACCAAGGTATATATTAATTACATAATAATGTAAAGCCAGAAAACCCTACAATCATTGCCGTTTTCGGTTTTCCTATGTGCATTTAAAAAAACACATATAAGGGAAATACGGGTGATAATAATGATAATTTATTCAAAATCTAACATATTATGTAAATATAATCTATTTAAGGCTTGCTGTGTTAGTGTTATTGCGCAATCTAGTTTGTTTATTTTTTCAATTATATTTTTTACCCGACTACACAAGGAGTTTTTGTTTTTCGAATGTTTGTATGTATGTATGTATGTATGTTCATTTCTTTTTGTTCGCCCAACAATCTCAACCTTATGGATTTTACATACTATGTATTAATAAATTCGTTTTGATTGTTTGAGTGATAGTTGATACAGATATGTACATATATGTGTACTAGCTGTGCCCCGCGATTTTACCACCCGCGTTAAATTTAATTATACATACATATGTCTGTTTCATGTCTACCCTCTACACGATGGGTTTTTCACTAAAGTTTCTGAGCTTAAAGTGCTTAAACATAGTATAAATATCAGTTTTACAATAATGTATGGAAGTCTGCCCGATTCGTTGACATATATGATTATTGCTCCGCTCCCTTGGGTAGTAGCATGATGATATATAGCCAATAACCTTCCTCAATAAACGCAATATGTAATGCAAAAAGATTTTTCAAATCGGATTAGCAGTTCTTTAGATTAGCGCGTTCATACAAACAGACAAACTCTGTCTCTTTATAATATTAATATAGTATAGATATGTCCATTTATTTTGATTTTTTATTACACATTTTATATCATGGACGCCATATTAATGATATGGTTAAAATTTCATGATATGGTCGTATATATATAAATAAATATATGGCTAAATTTCTTTAGATCTGACAACGATATATTATAATATATTAGTATATATTATGTCGTGCCCAGAATACAATTACGTCTATAATAAATATGTTGAAGGCTGAAATTGACAAAATTGTTGATATTTAATAATGTGTATCAAATAGAACCTAAAAATAGACACATTATGAACCCCTTTTTATTATTGTTTTGCAACAAACCATCTACAAAATGCGTTTGAAGTTGCCTTTTGTTAGGCGCTACCCGATCACAATCTACATACATTATAAGGACGGTACCTATCAATAATAAA